AGCACCGAATCGGACTACTGTATTCGGCCTGACCTGAGGAACGATACATAAGGAACGAAACCCCTTTTTTCCAAGTAAGTCTAGGAAATTCGACGGAACACCAGGGGGGCTCGCCGCCAAAAAGGTAGAGCGGAACGCATGCAAACCAAAGGAACGACCGAGCCCCTTTTGAAAAATAAGTGTTCCTTATTCAAGCCGGACCCTGTAAGGGGTGGAGGAAGGGAGGGGAGGGGTGAGGGGTGGAGGAAGGGATGGGGAGGGGAGGACAGGAGCTCATCAGCACCGAATCGGTGCGGTGCGTCGGACTGGGCCGCATCGGCACGCAGTCGAAATCGAGTCGGACAGGCTGCGCCAACATGCACGACACCGCTATGCAAACACCAAGCACCAAGCCGCATCGGCTCGTCGGAAGATCGAAATCGAATCGGATCAAGCTGGCCGGAATCGGGATCGAATCGGGTCGAAATGGACACTGAATGATGGAAGCGGGAGGACAAGGGGAGGAGGGATTTGGTAGAGGCAGAAGGGAAGGAGGGGGGGGGGAGCGACGACTCAGACCTCCGACGTCGCCATTGCTCCAAAACGTGGACCCCCAAGAACCCCGACCCGTTCCCCAGAACCCGCTCTGCGTCCCGAGTTGTTCTCGGACAGCCCCGGGGCCTGCTCAGGCCCGAGACTCCGAGGCCAGCAGCAGGCCTCCGACGTGCTCTTGCGCGACGCGAGGGAGCCTGGGCCCTCCCCTCGATCCTCGACGGCCCCGGCGAGGGCACCCGGAAGGCCGAAGGCAGCAGATAGAATACGAAGCAAGTGCATAAACATTTAACGGTTGGCGCTCCGCGCGGATTTCTTGGATCTGCGCCGGACTGCGCCAGGGGCGGCGCAAGGGGGGGGGCCCACCGTGGATCCAAGATATCCGCGCGGAGCGCCAAAAGTTTATGCATATGCCGTTGTTTTGCGAGCAGAGCACCTTCCGCCGTGATTTTTGCCGCGGCGCGAAGGCGAAGAAGGTGGGAAGGAGAGGATGAGGATTAGGCTGTTCCCATCGCACTTGAGGAGCACATCCCAGAAATCATTTCGAGCACCCAGAAAAGTATCGAAACGGTATATCTCACTATCGATCTCGACTTCACTACTGGTTTCACGATCGCCCTTTCAATCGTCCTCACCACCAATTCCACGATCAATATCACACTCGATCTCAACATCCATATAACAAAATGTCAAACCATCCCCTGATTGGGGTCGACTATTTTTGAATTCTCCTCCTGTAGAGGGACATGCCCGACTTAACAATACAACATCTATCTTCTTTTCTTCCCGCTTGACGTGAGACACCCAGAACAATGAATCCCGCGCGACCCTAATGAGAATTTTCCTTTGAGAATGAACCCGAAGAGCCCGAGGAACCCGGCAAACTCTAGGAACCCGGGACCCCGTGGAATCTGGGAACCCGAGGAACGGGGAACCTGGGGAACCCAGGGAACCTTGGGAACACGAGGAGCCCGGGGAACCCGAGGAACCTTCGGGAAACGGGCAAAGTAACATTAGGAGGCACCAACCCTTCACCAAGTAAGAACCAAGAAACCAAACCTAATTGAGGAGTAAGACGGAATCGCAGGAATTACAGCCTTCGGGTAGCGAAAATGAATAATAAACCACCGCTCGAGCCATTGCTCGAGGCTCAGCTTTCTTGCACTTGGGAAACTCGTCACGACCGATCCTCAACAAGTACTCCTGACCAGTCTTGGAAACAGGCATCTTGCAAATGGTGTACCTAGTCCCTTGAGCTGGGACTGACCGAAATAACCGCACACATTGCAATACCATGTTCCTAGCACATGCTGATACATTAGGGCGTGCGACGATATGTATACGACACCCCTTTTCACCCGAGACACCCTACCGTCCATGGGATCTAAAGCGTTGCACTCACTTTTCAGCCATTCGGACACGGTGGCTAAAATCGCAGACCCATGACACACTGGGCAAGACTTACCGCTGTCAGTAAGGGTGTGTGCCGTCGCGGAGCGAGCAGCTATGGACGGAGCGGGAGGCGGCAACGGCCGAGGACAGGAATGAGGGGGCGGAATGCAATTCCCTTCGGTGGCCAGCGGGGCGATCCGTGCTGCACGTCTGTTGGCTGCAGCCGTCGCCTTCTTCTCGGCCTCGCACTGGATCGAACACAGCCCTGCGCGCAACAGACGACGTCTTACGTGCGGGGCCTTCCTCTGAGCCATCACCACTCTGCAGTTGTCTTCCAATGGCACTCTCGCGGCTTCCGCCGCCACTCCGGCTAAATGATCCCCTGCCTCGTTACCCATCGGTCGGAAGAAGTAGGTAGAAACCTGAAGTAGGAAGGCGTTGGAAATAGATAGGGTTTCCGCCCGCCTCCTGCAGAGGAAGGAAGAGGGAAAACCACTCGACTCGTGAAGTAGGAAGGCGCTGAAAGTAGATTGGAATCTGGGAGTCCCAAAATACCTACTTTCAACGACCGATGGGTACCTTGAACCATCCAACTGGGAAGACGTCTCGTGCACACCTCTTCCGCACTCAAGTGCGATGGGATCTGCAGGACGATGATCGACCCGGCTGGCCACAAGGTGTGGCTCCCAAGCCCCAGTCGGCGCAGGGAGGGGCAGAAAGGGCGCTGGGCTCCACGTCGCTCCCAAGCGGGGGTCGTAGGAAGCAACAAAGTACTGGGAGGTCTTCGTGGGAAGGATTGGGGGAGAATTGAGCCCCATCGGGGGGGCTACTACAAAATCGGGCCGCGGATGAAGCGGGATC